CAACAAACAACAGCAACAAGTGATTTGTTTTTAAGTGAAGCTTGTTATTAAATATAAGAACAATTAAAATTAAAAAACAAAAAAAACAAAGTCTGATATAAAAACATATAAAAAACTGTGATTTACTTTTTATACAAAATAAAATTAGTGTTAATATTCTATTTAAAAAAAATGTAAGTGCAAAATATTGAAATAAATAAAAATCCTGTAATAATTTCGATATATAAAAATATGAAATTATCAAGAAAAATTAAAAAAGAGAAATTCAAGACTCTGATTCAATTCCTTGAAATCCAATGAAAAGTGCAAAAAGAACAAATAAAACTGGTCTAAAATGTATCCAGCCGTACCACTTCTTTGTCCTACAATGGAAGTGACAAAATAGCTTTACAACAAGTGAAAAGGGTCATCATGCCGAAGAGGGTGTGTGTGTTCTCTTCTTTGAGTGGAAGATGGCTTTATTCCTGAATTTTACATATGCACATACAAACATGAAACTCTCATTGAGGCTGAACTGGTTCTAGACAAGTGTGATTTTTTGCAACAAAGTGTATATTTAAGAAAGTTCTGCTACCAAAATTTACAGTGCATCATTGCAGATACAATGAAAACATAAAAAGATTTTTAATATATATTTTATTTCTGGTGCGAAATCCAATATCATATTTTTTTGTTTTCCAATTAAAATAAATATGCAATTTTTAATTATGAGTTGTGGGATACCTTGCATGTTGGGCTATAGTGATGAATCCTACCCAATCCTTGATAAATTTTAAAATTTAAAAAATTTTAATTCTTATGCCTAATGAGGGCATGAACACGTTGTTATGACAAAAATGTGCATGATCGAAATATATTGGTTTTCTTTGGACCAAATCCGTTTCAGACAATTTGGAGTCGGCGACTGGACAGCTGTTGCGCAAAATAACTCTCAAAAGGAGTAACCGATTTCATAGTAATATTTTTTCCAAACTTAGTTCAATTTCGAAAAAGGGGAATATCGGTGAACTCCACTCCTTCTTTTTCCTCCCCCACAAAATGGTCAAAACTGTGCTAAAAGTGTATTTTTAATATCATGCGAACGGGCTAGCCGATTTGAACCAAACATTGCACAACCTATTATCTTTACCATACCTACATCAAGTTCATACCTACATTGTCCACTCCTTCTGGTATCTCGCCCACAAAGGGTCAAAAATTGCAATATTTATAAATCCAATATCAGGAGAACAAAATTTGGCACAACATATTCTAAGTTCTATTGATTGTGAGCGCCATCTGTCGGCCACCAAAGTCACGAAGCATTTTTTCGCTATCGCCTGTTTTGTGATATTTTTCCTATTTTGTTATTGAATGCGGGTGATTTTTTTATTATTATTTCGTATTTCAAAAAATTATAGAAAAAAATTCGATATTCTCGAATTTTGGGTGTTTACTATAGTATGTATATATGAAACATTATATATATCAGGCTGATTATCAATTTCGATAAGTTCCTACAACCAGAACATAAACTAGGTTATTAATAGAAAAAAATTGGTTAAAACCAGTTCCAACTATAAGACAATAAAAATCTATAAATTTGTACAATACATCATTCTACTATATTTATCTATATTGATCTAAATATTGGGAAAAGGCGGAATGTTGTCTTGCGACGAATATAACCATTAACCCACCCCCCACCTTTCGCCCCACCTTCAAAACTACGTCACTGCCTTTTTAGATACGTATATATGATGGCAATGGAAAGTGGGCAAAAATCTTACCCACAATGTTCACAGCCCGATTACGCTGTTGATATTCAATTAACTATCCCACCAGCACTTGACGATATGCAAAAACAACAAATTTAATTCTAACACTTCAAGTCTACCACAACCACCACCACCATCAAACATCACTAATTCGCACTCACTCGCCTGCAATTGTTGTGAATAGAACAAACCATTTTTTGCTTGATATATTTTTTAATAACGCCCTCATCATTGTGTCTTATCGACATATACGACACGGCTATATATGTATTTATTGGGCCCTCTATTTTGTTTACAAGTCCTATTTATGGCTGGCCTATGGAAATTTCAAATGACACTGATGAAATTTTAATAACAGGGGTGATCACATTCGAGATTCGCTTCGCAATGTTAACATCGGTCGGGTTCCTACGACGAGTTGTGATGGATACCTTGGCCAGAACCTTAAATTTAGTCTTTTGTCAACGCTCGAACTAGACGGACGCGGAACAGTAATCGCGTAACGGCAAACGATATTATAGTGAGTGTGTGCTATTTTGTTAGAGAGGCGTGATCGCGATCTTTTGTTGTGGTTCTATTTTTTTTTTTTTTTGCAAGATAAACCTTGGACAAGAAAATTAAAAAAAAAATCGGAAGGAAGAAAATAAAGCAAAGCCATTGATGATTGTGTGTGGACGTTCGCATCATAGTTGTTTATTTTTTTGGAAATCATTCTGAATCTGAAATCGTCTTGCTGGCTGTTATCAGTTCAACGATCTTGGTTTATGGTAAATTTAAATAATAAAAAAAAAACAAAAACAATGAAAAAAATGTTCTTGTATATTTTTGACCCAGTGAAATAAAACCAAATATGTTGATGAAAATACAAATCAGATTTTAAAGGGTTCTTCCAGTGAAAGTGATAACATTTAAAATGAAAAACAAACAAAAAAATTAAATTTGAACAAACTGTTAAGATTTATAAAAAATGTAAAATTCCATAATTTATGAATGATTTCTGTGAAATATGTTGCTAAATTTAAATCGTTATCTGAATTAAATCGAATTATCGCTTAAGTCAGAAATTTTAATATCAAGGGAGTGTAAAAGATATAATGTTAAAAATCGTTATTTTTATCCGCTTAAAAAGGACATTTAAAAATAAAGGATAAATTTTATAAAAAAAAATAAAGAAAGAAAAATCAACAAATGCCGAATCTCAGAAATTCAAGAACAAAATAATCATTTTGAAAAAATTATACTAGGGCAAAGGATTTTGAAGAAAGTGGATAAATAAACTTAAAAAATATAGATTGTAAAAAATAATTCAAATTATTTGGGCGCCAAAAAATCTAAAAAGGTTGGAGACAAAAGTCATCTAAACAGGTCCTTTCGAAGGCCACGCAATTTAAGTCCTTGAGAGTTTTTTTAGTTTGTATAAAAAATATATTCTTTTTATTTTTTTCATCATGCCAATAAAATAAACCCCTTTGCTTGCAACTCATCACATTTTCATTGCCAAGAAGAATTAGTCTTCTTTTCTTATTTTAGCCACATTTATTTCAATGCTTGTTTCTTGGCGTCAGTCGAAACAAAAAAAAACAAATAAAACAATCACATAAAACAAAATAATGTTTTTGTACATAAAATAAAACCAATTGGGTAGAAAATAAAATTAAAAGAACACACTAAATTTATTAATTAAAAAAATAAAATTTTAACTTCAATTTCCAGTTAAAAAAAATCGCCATAAATTTAGGAATAGGAATCTACAAGTTGTTATACCCTCAGCCTTTCGGCTAATGAGTGTGTACGAGGGCAGGTTTATACCACGTTTTTTTTTGCTACGCTAAGAACTTTCCAAACTGTCCTCGTATACACTTTTCGACGGCAAAAATGTGCCTAATCGAAATATTGGTTTTAGAGCAAATTCGTTTCAGACAATGTGTAGTCGATTTAAAAATTCCCGCCCTCTGGCGACAACTTTCGAATGGAGTAACTGATTTAATCCAATATTTAAAAATTCTCTAAGCAACATTAAATCCAAAACCTCTTCGACAAAAAACATAGCGAATATTAAACCTGTTTGTAATTCCGAAGACCTCTGTCGGCAGACCCAACTGATATTTGTTTAATTGTTTTTTACAAAGTGCCAAAGTGTTGGGATGTTGCGGGCTAGATCAAGGTTTTATTTTTAGTATTACCATATGCAAATATTGGATGAAATTTGGTATGCGATTCTCTTCTTACGAAATTTACACATTTTTGAAACCGATTTATCCCAACCAAGCAGTCATACGGACGAAAATTTATAAACCAAATCGAAATGGTCTGAAACGGATTTGGGATCTAAAAACGATATTTCGAGGAATCGCATTGGCCATAAGGCTCATATAAAAACCATAGATTTTGCACGCTCCATCTTACATTTAGATACTTGAGCGTGAGTTTTTGGTCAAAAACCAAACCGTTATGATGATTTATTCGCCGTATTTACCGGGTTCCCGCTGAATTTTCCCTCTTCATAAAAATGGAGACTCCGATGAATGGAAAGCATTTTGTTACGATTAGGGAGATAACAGAAAACTCGAAACCGGACTTACATATTCAATTTAATATATTTTTTTCTCTATTTCCCCCTGATATATATATTTTCGTATATCTTCAAACAATTGAAGACCATCATAACTTAGCATTGGTAAAATATATTTTGACAACTTCCGCACATCTTATCATAAACATTTTGTTTTCAAAAATTTTTTAGACAAAACAAAAAAATACTGTAAATAATTTTTATATGTCCAGTCTTTCAACTAAAATCGAAACGATAATGTTCGATAAGTTTGTAGCCAGAATCAGTGGAATTATACGGAGCAATTTGATAAGAAGGAGGGAATGTAATAAAACAGCTGTTTAATAAAAAACAAAACAGAAAAACCAATCGAAGATAAATACACGAGACTTTTACGATAACGATTATTGGCTTCTCTTCGCCATTCACCTTTTTTTTTTAATTGTTGATAAGTGTAACAATTAGAAAAAAATCTGAATTAATTCATTTTGATGTTTCTAACTCATCGATATAATGATGATGATTAGAGTAGACGATTTACTTCCGGGTTTAAGAATTCTATAATTAAATGTAAATATTTTTAATGAACTAATAGATCCCTAGATTTCAAATTGTACAGTCATGTTTGATGGCCATGCGATTGTTTGTTGGCACGTGATATTGGAAAAAATTGTGCAAAACTTTGGATTTTCTAACATGATTCATCTGTATTAATTTCGCGAGAACTTTGCGTGCTGCCGACTGGCTAGCCCTTTCCCTGAATTCTTATTAGCTGGGAATTTAATCTAATTTTTTTTGTTATATTTTTCTAAACAAGAAAACTAAGCTTAGAGTTGTGAATAATTAATGAGTAGAAATTATTCGACAATAATATTTGAAAACAAAAAAACAATACTCAATCAATGATTCGCGTTTCTGGCATTAGCTTAGTTATTAACGAAATTAACATAGTTTACTAATTCAAAACAACTGCAATATAAACAATATTAATAACAATGATAATAATATTGATGAGAATATTTAAAAAAATATTTTCTAGTCATAACTAATAAATTATAAAATAATGAATGAACGAGAAAAATGTAGACAGGAATGCTAATGGGTTAGTAGAGTAGGACGCTGAAATTAATAAAAAATCGCACTTCACACTGGGTAGTCACTAAACAAGGGTGGAGCAGTGGTGTTCACAATTCCAGTAACACCTTTACAACAAAAGAATTCGATAAAAAAAAAACTAGAGGCGATGCCAATTAATTAATTGTTGGCGACAAATTAGTTCTGCTTTTTATCGCCATGTGATGCTACTAAAATAGAAAAAAAATACCTTTATTGGTTATCTGTTTGTTTTTGCATAACTTTCATCAATAATTAATTAGCATATTTGTTATTGCGCAACGGTGCAAGACGCAAAAAAGGAATAGACGACGACGAAGAAGAAAAAAAGTATAAATCAAGTTCGGCACTTGTTAAATAATATTAACATTCTAATTCTTTTTATAGTCCGACTAAATGACTGGGAGCTATTTGCTGCTTTTATTAACCCTTAAAAGAGCATACAATTCTTCATCGAATATCATTCACGTACTGTGGTTCTCATTTGCAACTTTCAGATAAATTTTATTTGAAAAATTAAAATTAAAAATATTTTTAATTTGTTTTTTGCCTTGCTCATCTGAGGGTTAACGATTTAATACCAGTTTATCACAAGTATATTATTAATATAAATACAACAATTGTCATAATTTTTGCAAACAATAATTAAAGTTTCTTCCCTGCATGGAATCCATAAAGAGGAGAATTAAAAAAAAAAAACAACAGTATAATTTTTAAATTAATCATTTATTCGAAATAAAAAAATAGAAATTTGCAATTCAAAGCGAAATATCATTGTTAGTTATTATTTTTCTTTTTAAAAATACACAAGTATTTGGAAAATAATTTTATTCTAATCACAATGTGTTCTATACACTCAAAGTCTCACAAAAATCCAAATTTCAAAATTTATTTTATTTAAAAATGTTAAGACTGCAGCATCAGGTAAAACACCGCAAATGTGATCTCTTTGAAAGTAGTTTCTGTGTAAAAAATAAAATCAGAATCACTGTCTAATGATAAAGTGATATAATTTTTCAAAATTGTGAAACTTTAGGGTGACGGTTGCAAGAAGGATGGCTACCAAATAGAGGTGTGAGAAAGTGGCGCCCAATTGTTCGGTAGCAAAAAACAGGTTAAATTGACGTTGTGGGTCAAGGACCGATGTTATTTGCCACCACAATTGAAGAGGATTTTCGATATGGCAGAACTGAACGCAAAAGGAAGACATTTTAAAACCTGGGGCATTTTCAATTGCCACAAATTCAAAATAAATTTGCCTTACACGTTAGCAAGTGGCGCCCAATTGTTCGGTAGCAAAAACAACATACTGTCGTTGTAAAATAAAACCAAAACTCCTAAAATGTCTGGAACGGGTCTCTCAACTCAAGCCATGTATTTTCAAAATATCGTAAATTTTTTTTTATATTTCCAGATATTGTAAAAATCACCGAAATTCCATAAAATCTTTGACATTTCCCAAATTCCCAATTTTTTTTTTCTTTATTTTTCTATTTTTTTATAAAAACGTATATATAATTTTTCGTTTTATAAATACGAACTTCTAATAATTCATTTTGTATATCATTTACAGGTTCTTCAAAACTAACAAATACTCAATCAACAACAAAATGACGTCACAGGGAGATGTAACGTGTAAAAAGAAAAATAATATTTTGGCCCAGTTTACAAATCCAATAAAACAGAAAAATGAAGATGCAAACGACAGTGTTCCGAAGGCGCCCAGCATATCATTTTTCCAATTGGTAAGACGAAAACAACTACAACAATTCGCAAAATCCAACTAAAAAACATTTATTTTCCTCCCGATAGTTCCGCTACTCGAGAACAAGTGAACGTTTCATGATGCTCATTGGCATTTTATTGGCCTGCATAGCAGCCTGTGGAATGCCCTATTCCATTGTTATTTATGGTGAATTTTCATCCTTACTGGTAGATCGTACCGTGGGTGTGGGTACATCCTCGTCGACCTTGATTTTACATTTGTTCGGTGGTGGCAGGAAATTGTAAGTTTATTTTTTTTTTTCAAAATTTTCATTCTCAATTTAAAAACAATTTTTATTTTTTATTTCCTATTTCCATAGAACCAATGCCACCTATGAAGAAAACATGCAAGCCATACGTGAAGATTCCTTGGCCTTTGGTTTGGGCAGTGTGGCTGGTGCCGTTGTGTTACTAGTTGTCATTGCAGCAGCTGTGGATATTTTAAATCGCACAGCCCTGAAACAAATTGGTCGCATACGCAAGGAATATTTGGAATCAATATTGAAACAGGACATGTCCTGGTTTGATACTGCCTCCGGTAACAATTTTGCCAGTCAAATGTCTGAGTAAGTAACAAGAAGTCACAGGAAAGCCGCACAGAATAGAAATGTAAATTGTTTTTCGTTTCCAGGAATCTCAACAAAATGAAGGAAGGCATCAACGAAAAGGTGGTCATCTTCATTTTCCTCATTATGTCCTTTGTTATTGCCATTGTGGCCTCCTTTGTCTATGGCTGGCAATTGACTTTGGTTGTCCTGGCTAGCTGCCCGCTGATCATTATTTCCACAGCCTTGGTGGCCAAAATTCAAAGTTCGTTGACAGAGAAAGAATTGAAGGCATATTCGGGAGCCGGTTCAGTTGCCGAAGAGGTACTAGGAGGAATACGTACTGTCTTGGCCTTCAGTGGAGAACGCAAGGAGCAGGAACGTTTCTCCCAACGCCTGATCCCTGCTGAAACAATTGGCCGTCGCAAGGGTCTATTCTCCGGTTTGGGTGCTGGCACCATGTGGTTCATTATTTACTGCTGTTACGCCATTGCCATGTGGTATGGTGTCAGTTTGATTCTGGATGAACGTCACGATGAAAACCGCCATTACACCCCAGCTGTTTTGGTCATCATTTTGTTTGGTGTTATTATGGGAGCCCAGAATCTTGGATTTTCTTCACCCCATTTGGAAGCATTCGCCACGGCCAAAGGTGCTGCTCACAGCATTTTCACAACTATTGATCGTGAGTCCAGCATAGATCCACTGTCGGATAAAGGAGAAAAGCCCGCCGACGTTGTTGGCAATATAGAATTTGAAAATATTTATTTCCGCTACCCAGCTCGACCGAATGTTGAAATCTTGAAGGGTTTCTCCTTGAGTATAAAAACAGGTCAAACTGTTGCCTTTGTCGGACCTTCAGGATGTGGCAAATCGACAACCTTGCAATTGATGCAACGTTTCTATGACCCCTTGGGTGGCTGTGTGAAATTGGATGGTCGTGATTTACGTGGTTTAAATGTTGCCTGGTTACGTTCTCAAATTGGCGTTGTTGGCCAAGAACCGGTACTCTTCGCCACCACCATTGAAGAGAATATTCGTTATGGCAAAACTGACTGTACAATGGAGGACATCGAAAAGGCTGCACGCATTGCCAACTGCCATGACTTCATAATGAATCTCCCCCATGGCTATAAAACAAAGGTGGGAGAACGTGGCGCCCAAATGTCCGGTGGCCAGAAGCAGCGTATTGCTATTGCCCGAGCCATCATTAGAGATCCCAAAATACTGTTGCTCGATGAGGCCACTTCAGCTTTGGATCCCACTTCCGAAAGGCGTGTACAGGATGCTTTGGAAGTTGCCAGCAAGGGTCGAACCACTTTGGTGGTATCACATCGTCTATCCACCATTACCAATGCGGACAAGATTGTCTTCGTCAAAGATGGAGTGGTGGCTGAACAGGGCACACATGAAGAGCTGATGGCTAAGGGTGGTTTATACTATGAACTGGTTAAGATATCGCAGCGTCGCGAACAAGTCGACGAAAATGTTGATACTTCGCAGAAAAACCCAAATGCAGAGAACGGCAGTGAAGATGAGGAGGAGGACGACGATGAAGATGATGCTAGCAGCAGTGAAGATGAGGGTGACAATGTTGTCGATGTCGAATCACCCGAAAATCCATCAACGGAATTGGGGGTAACTAACAAGGCATATGAGGGTTCATCGGATGAAAAACTGGGCAGTGGTATGAAAAGTAAGTTCGTGTTGTTGAAGTTCTACAAAGCATTGGAAATTATTTACTAATTACTGTTGTTGTTGTTGTTATTTTTATTTTGGAAAACAGGAAGAGGCAGCAAAAGGAAGAGGAAATCCAAGGATGTTGAAAAATACAAAATTTCCTTTTCACAATTGATGCGTTTAAATGCCCCCGAATGGAAGTATTTATTGATCGGCTGTGTGGCGGCCTGTTTGCATGGTGCCACCTTCCCCGTTTGGGCTGTATTCTTTGGTGATTTCTTTGGAGTAAGTGGTGAAGACATAAAGTAATCCAAAAAGGGAATGTTATTAATATATTCATTTTATCTCTACAGATTTTATCTGATGAGGATGAACAGGTGGTCAGAGATGGTGCCAATCTGTTGTCCTATATATTTATTGGTATTGGTTTGGTGGCCGGTATTGGCGCCCTATTGCAAACCTATATGTTCAACACGGCTGGTGTTAAAATGACAACCCGTCTACGAAATATGACCTTCCAGACTCTGCTGAAGCAGGAGGTGGCATATTTTGATGATGAAAAGAATTCTGTGGGTGCCTTGTGTGCTCGTTTAGCTGGCGATTGTTCGAATGTTCAGGGGGTAAGTTGGGAACCAGAAGATACATTTTATTTGTGGGTTGATAAAAGTGTAGCTTCTGATTTCTCCCGATAAATGTGATTAAATATTTACATCTAAAATATTACTTTTATTTCAGGCAACTGGAGCTCGTATTGGCATCATTGTCCAGGCTTTGTCAACCCTATCGATTGGTGTGCTGGTCGCATTTATCTTCTCCTGGCAACTGACCTTGGTCACCTTGGTGATAATTCCTTTCCTGTGTTTCTCCATTGTTTTGGAGGCCAAATTCACCGAATCCTTTGTGGCCAGTGAAAAACAAGCTGTTGAACAGGCATCTCAGGTGGCTGTGGAGGCTATTACCAATATCCGTACTGTGACCAGTTTGGGCCAAGAAAAACACATTGTACAACGTTATAGTGAACAAATCGAACTGGTCGACAAGGCGTGTACCAAGAAATTGCGCTATCGTGGCTTAGTTTTCGGTTTGGGTCAATGTTCACCAATTTTGGCTTACGGGTTATCTTTGTATTATGGCGGAACTTTGGTGGCCGATGGCGTGTTGCCCTATGAGAATATTATCAAGTAAGTTTTAATTGAAAATATGAATGCCATAACCACTTAAGATCATTGAGGAAAAAGGGTCTGCTTTTTGAATACCCTATTTTTCCTGCAGGGGCCGAATACGACCTTCTTATATTTTTAAGATTTATTAATTCAATGTCTTTCAATTCTTCCAACAGGGTTTCTGAAGCTTTGATCTTTGGTTCTTGGATGTTGGGCCAGGCCTTGGCCTATGCACCCAATGTAAATGATGCTATCATGTCAGCGGGACGTTTATTGAAACTATTCCAGCGTGTACCCAAAATGCAATGTGTCACCGCCAAACCATTCAATACAGCTGATGTAAGTTTAGTGAAATCCTCCTCGGGCCCAAATTTCCGAAACTAATTCAAAATCCATTCTTTACCTATTTCCAATAGAAATGTGAAGGCGACATTAACTACGAACAAGTCTATTTCGAATATCCCACACGTAAAGGTATACCGATTTTGGAAAATTTCAATTTACAAATTCCCAAAGGCAGTACAGTGGCTTTGGTCGGCCCATCCGGTTCGGGAAAATCCACATGTGTTCAATTGCTGTTACGCTACTATGATCCCGTGCGTGGTTCCGTCAATTTGAGCAAAACTTCCACCACCGAATTTCCCATTGATACCCTACGCTCCCAAATGGGTTTGGTGTCGCAGGAACCAGTACTTTTCGATCGCAGCATAGCTGAAAATATTGCCTATGGCAACAATTTCCGTGAAAATATACCCATGGCGGAAATTATTGAAGCAGCTAAGAAAGCAAATATTCACAATTTCATAACCTCATTGCCGCAGGGCTATGACACATCGCTGGGTAGCAAAGGTACTCAGTTGTCGGGTGGTCAGAAACAACGTATTGCCATTGCCCGTGCCATGGTTCGAAACCCCACAATTCTCATCTTGGACGAGGCCACCTCAGCTCTGGACATGGAAAGTGAAAAGGTGGTACAAGAGGCTTTGGATGTGGCCCGCAGTGGCCGGACCTGTGTGACAATAGCTCACCGCTTGACCACAGTGCGGGATGCCGATCTGATTTGTGTCCTCAAGAAGGGTGTCATTGTCGAACAGGGCACTCACGATGAACTGATGTCCAAACGTGGACTCTACTACGATCTGTACTTAATGCAACAAGTTGCTTAGTTAAGTTTTCTAGATGTTTAGATGTTCTCTTTTTTATACATACGATATTTTTTAAGTATTAGTTATGTAATTGCAAAACAACAAAGTATTTATAGCTGTATTATTTAGGATATAGAACGAAATTATATATTTTCAATGAAAATAGCTTATACATACAAATATAAAATAAATTGAACAAATTTTAAATTTAAACCTAAAATCTCTAATTATCTTGGAATACTGGAAAATGTGGGGGTGTGACATATGCCTCCCATCTCTTCCTAGAGATGAGAATCGCGTATAGCACCGGGATTACTCAATGCATTTTTACGTTCCTGTATAGCAAAGCTTAATTTGCGGAAAGGACCCAATGGCAATCCCAAAGACTTAAGGTCGGCCTCGGTTAGCAGCAACAGGGTATCCAAATCGATTTGCTGTTTCTGGAAACTAAAACGAGATATACACATTACCAATTGTTTATAATTTAAAAGGGTAAAAGGGTACACTTACATATGTAAATATTCTTCCAAACCCCAAACGGTAAGAAATCGTTGTATTGGCCCACCCGCCACATCCTGATCATCATCATCACTAAAACCATCTGCACCATCTGAATCGGAATCGGTTAAATTTAAAAACGATCTCTGCTTGGCAGAACGTGATTTTGAACATATCGAACTAGTTCTGGTGGAGGGTTGGGTGGTGTTAGTATTCTCCTCCAAACCACTATAGACATCGGTATTCAGTTGACTTAGGGCAGCTGTTACGGAACGTCTAAATGCAATACTACCCAGCATGGGACGATCAAATAATCCCGAAGGTCTTTGAATTTGTATTTCCGGTCGTAGAGTATCGCTGGTCTCATTATCACCCAAAATATCGGGTTGTGAGAAGGAACGTGACAGTGTACCATATGTGGACTTGTTATTATTCGATTCATTGTCCGAATTGCCAGCTTCTTCAGTCTCAAAGAGGCCATTGATTTTGCCACGTTTGCAGTTGTCTTCATTGGAACTAAAGGTACCCACATAAAGTATCTCTGAATCTCTTTGGACACCACTCAGCGATGTAATGGTTCGGCGTCCATCCGGTTCTATTTCTCCAATTTTAAAACCGGTATCGCCACCCGAAAATGCTTTCGATTTTGAGGAAAATGTATTACCCTTACGACTGGCCACTGAACCACCACTACTACCAGCTGTACTACCTCCGGTCTGTACCAATTCACTGAATTTGACACCGCTACTACTTGCCGGTGGAGAAGTTTCTTTTGGAATTTTATGTAAATTGCCCTGACTGGACCATATTTTCTGCTTCAGTGTGGATAACATTTTACCAGATTTTCCATTTGTGGCCGATGTTGGAGACTTGGGTTCCTTTTGTTCCTGATCCTGTTTCTGTTGCCGTTTCATATATTCTTTGATGCGTTTTTCGCAGTTCTTTTCGGCCACGTCTTTCATGGCTTTGGATTTTTTTCTAAAATGACAATTATTGGTATATGATAGAGGATTCTTATGTCGTACAATATGGCCGCGTTCTCACCTATCATTGGCCTCAAAATTGGCCGTGGCTGCATCCAAATAACGCAGAATCTCATCTCGATTATTAATGGCGGCTAAATCTTTGGCGCTATGCTTATCGATGTCCAGGGCATAAATGTTGACACCAAATTTCACCAGAAAATCTACACATCTCAAGTGGCCCTTGGCAGCAGCCAAATGTAAGGCAGTATTACCGAACTGATCACATTTGTCGGGATCACCTCTGGTTATACGGGAATGTGTATTTTTTGAAATGTCAAATGTTTGTATTCATGCAGTATTGAATTTGGAGAGGAAGAATTTTCGATTTACAAATTATACCTATACTTAACCAAATATCTAAGGGAGGGATCAGAATAATCGCAATCCCAAAATTGGAACTAAAATAGGCTATATGTGGAGTAAAAATGGAATTTTCTTTTAGAGAGGAACGTCACTGGGAGAATCTGTCGGATAAAGTACTATTTCTTAAACCAAATTCTAACTCGAAATCCCTGTAAGATAGCCAACCTCAATTGGACGTCCAGAATATTCATAACCTCATTGCGAAAAGGGTAGGACACCAAAAGTACTCAGCTGCCGGGAGGTCAGACTGTGAATTTTTGTATTGCCATTGCACGTTAAACTTTTTGGTACGATAATTAGTACCATATTTATATTAGTTACCCGGTAAATACTCAAAATTACAAAAATTAAAAGAAAATAGTTCTTAATTATATGTGGCAAACCGATTATTCCGGGGTTCGAACCCAGCTGTTGGAATCACTTTGATTATTAAATATTTATAAAAAGGGCGGAGCCGTCTGGTATTCCAAAAGCCAACTTCCGAATCAATACATGAGGAAAACACAAAATTCGAATGGCAGGATACAGCGACACACAGAAGAAAATTACAGCACAAAGAAGCAAGGACTTCAACCATTGCACAACATTAAGGAAGCGTTGTTTCTAGGCAACGATAGACAGCCTCGTCGCATAGGATGGCTATAGCAGACCAATCTTCTTCTTAACTTGAATAACAAAAAGCCTAAATCAAGGACTAATCAAAGAAAGATGGCGTTGCTTTGTGGAAGCCCCATGTCTCGGTTATTGTCCATAGACTTTATGGAGTTTTTTGGGGAAGGTAATTGAAAATGGGACACCAAAAGTACTCAGCACACAAAAGTATAGGTGCACCCTTTTCGTATAGTCCCCATATAACGTACTGCCACTATTCTATATTTTGAGGACTTTAGGCAACATTTTACCACCCAATTGGTTAAAATTTCGTATTTTATGTTTAAATAATGATACTAAGAATGAGAACCTCCAGTTCTTTTGCTTGAGCAGGTTTTTAAATGGAATTTACTCTATTTTGGGTTCTCATTGGGTCCCAAATATTTCAACCAAAAATTATTAATATCGATCCGAATTTCGGTATAGCCTTCAAAGATTTAGATATCTTAGCCCAATTTGGGTTTGTAGTTTGGTAGTTCGTTTTCCCTGGCATAAATTTACCATAGCATAGACCCCTTACAAAAGTCTCAATCGATTTTAGGTACACCGAATGTCCAACTAATGGTGTAGGGTATAATAAGTTCGGCTCTGAATCTTCTTCACTACTTTTTCAGCCTTAAAATACAGAATTCCTTGCTCTCCTTACTTTTCTTCAAAAAACTTTTCTCTTACCCTCTGCCACACAGTAAACGTAAAGCTTCTAAATGTCCTTCGAATGCTGCCCATAAAACTGGCGTCATCGAATCATCATCCTTTGAATTTGCATCTTTGCGTGTTGCCTCTTTTAGGACGTCCAGCAGGCCATCCTTGGCGGCTCTGTAACAAAAGGTGGAGATCAATTATATGTTCCCTACAATTGAAAGATCTTCGCGGACCAACACCATTAACCGAAATGTGAGTAATGTCAATTTATCTTAAAAGCATTGCGTGATAAGATAAAACATGTAAGACACGACCAAAGGTGGAGATACTAACTTGTGAAAACGTTCTGATGACATTTTGATTGGCGGTGATATCGAAGTTTCAATAAGAGAATTGAAGAGGTTTTAGTATTTCTTGGGAGATGTTCTTAATCTTGTGGGGCTATATTTTCCTCGGCAGTTCCATAGATAGGTTTATTTGTCATATAACTTCAGTAGCCACAATTTTTGATTATTGTTCTCAGATGTTGAAGTTTTAATACGATTTTTTTACGTTATTAACTTGGCCAAGACGAATCAAATAGATCTTAACACACTATGTACGTATGTTAGCAAACATGTTCATAAATGGAAAGTGTAATTCAACGACACATCAAATGCCAAACACGTTCTACTTTATAATATTTTGTTGGCTTTGTTTTTGTTTTTCTTTGGGAAAGCATTTAATTGGGGTTGGTGTGGATGTCTGTCGCTGGCTTGCTCGCCTGCAAAGAGTTATCACTGACCCGTTTTTTTACGATCACAATTCGTGTCCAGCACACATTCCGACATTGTTGCATGAATGCTTTGGTCACAATGGTGTGCGTTCACAATTTCGTTTTTTATTACAACACGTCGCAATGAGCTTGCGTTCAATGCTCATTAATTTTGTTGAAGTTTCAAATTTCATTGAAATTAGTTTTTGTTCCACACACTCTGTACGTTCCGCCGTAGGGATAGACACATTGATTGCATTTCATATTTGGATTAATGATGGCAAATTGTTACACTTGTTTTGTTTTTTGTTTTATTTTTTTACATTTTATCCATTACAAACAATAACAATTTTGAATCTCTTTGTTGGATTTTGCCACTCAAGCGTTGAAGACCTCCAAAACAATTCACTTCACAATTTTCGAATTTGTCAGCCTTGATGGGGATTCACTTCTTTTGCACTGAGACAAGTTGAAAGGGTCACAGAATAACAACAATAAAAATAAAACACTCGCTTTCTTTTGCCTTTCAAGAAAATGTCCATGAAATGTTTTCCATTACAATTTTTGCCAAACTTGAATTTTGTTTTTTTTTTCAAATCATTCACTTCTGGAAAGCTGGCTCATCGTTGTCATAGGGAAATTGTACACAACAATATGCTGGCTGACACATAGACGCACACACTAACACACACTGATAATAAAGCACAAATGGTAAGGTTTTCGAGTTTGTGGCAACTTCAAACGTAGCCAAGTCTCGCTTTGTTAGCCGATATTCCGTTGTTGTTTTGAGGAGAGTCTGAGCGCAACTAACTTCAAATGTGGCTTACAAAGCAAGTTTGGGCCACATTCTCTATCCAGAGTAGAGTATACTCCATGATATGACCATTTTTGAGCAAGCAAAGAGAACGATGGTAACTGCTAGAAGTGAGAGAGAGTACTCTTTTCACCGAAACCAGCCATATGAGCCGGCAGAAGTTTGAAATTTTGATCTTTGTCAATTTATCGAAACAAACAAATCTACTTTGCAGTATGTGAAAACAATTACAATATTATTTACTTCCAAATAACAATATTAAATACTTCCCACTCTGAACACAAATTATCCATATTTATAAAAGAGAAAAGTGATTGACTGACTCTTAACGATTCATCAACGCCCAGACGAAACGGCTGAAGCTAGAATCTTCAGATTTGGGTTTTTTGGAAATTCGAAAAATACTAAAAAGCACCGACCTATTTTCGATATTTTCAAGGATTTAGCCGCATTTTAACCTCGATGTGTTTGTAATCTATATATAAATTAGTACGACGTATAAAACATACGTCACGCCGTAGTCACTTCGTAGAAGTATCTCCTTCGCCAAAGTCATTTCCTGGAATTATCGCCGTAGTCACATTTTGGAAGTATCGCCGTGGTCACTTGCTGGAAGTATCGCCTAAGTCAACAATCTTATAATAGCCAAATCGATGTTGCGGGCACTTGCTAGTGTACTATCAAATCGATAGAACTACATTAATAAGACTTTTTAAAACATTCCACATTCCATACGAAAAGTATGGAGGCAATTCATAAAATTCGATGGAAAATTTTAATGAAATTTCCATAAATCGCAAATTTTTGTGAAAGTTCGACTTTAAACCATTAATTGGTATCAAAGCCAATCTTTAGTTTGTCAAGACAGGATATACCATGACGTATATGAATTTATTCATGACTGTCTGTTTAAATCCCGATTGAACTCACAACATTTAAAATAGAGCTTTGAAATTCTGTACATAAACTTATTGTTACGACTCTTAGGAGATTTGGTATTAACAATTTTATATATCGATCCACGTTGTAGTATAGCCCAAACTTTGGTATTTCATGTTTTTTTCACCAAATTTTTTCATGTTTCTCACCATTTTTTTTTTTAATTTTATATTTTAAAATCATATCAATATTGGACCACTTTTTTGGATAACCCTCATATAACTGTGCCTTCCAAATAACGTTATTTGTGAAGTTTGGATTCATTTTCGAATAAAAATTGATTGTAATTTAATGTTCCCAGGCTAAAAAACTGGTAAAACTTCGAAAACAATTTCGATTAGTTGAAAATACTTACGAGTTCCAAAAAAGAGCTAATGTACTACTACTATTTACAGCACTTTTTAACGAGTGCCTTCTTTTTCGAATTTTAATTGAAAAAAGATATAGTTTCGACGGAGGGGTCTACGATATGAAATCGACCCGAGTATTTCCGGCGAACGTCTGTCACCTCAGCCCATTGTGTAAAAGCAATAGGACAGCTACAACAACAATTACTACTTTTTACACGACTTTTTTTAACGCGTGTCTTCTTTTTCGAACTTTAATTGAACAAAGATATAGTTTCTTGCAGGTAGAGGAAAAGGACAATAATACGCTATTACATTTCGGGCAATTACAATTACAATGTATCTAAAGAATAATCTCCCTTTAATGTCATTACATCCTAAATTCCTAGTTTTAATATAACTGTTTTGATGTAAATATAACATAATATATGTTTTAAAGAATTCTGCACTACTACTGCAGATTAATTCAAATTAATACCTTTTTTATTACAAATTTATCAGTTAAAAACTAACTCAACAAGTCATTGCAGATTTCTAAAAATTGTTGTTTGATCACTTGATTTAATTTCTATTCTTGATTACATTAATTTTTGGAATATTGTTCTACACCACTGCTGTCAGTTGAGTGTTCCATGTCACCCTGTATTATCGATAACAAAATAAATATTGTTATCGAATGCTAACAACGTTGCTATCTTCGCTCAGTTATAAATACATATACCAACTAGAAAAAAGAAAACACGATATATTTTTTATTGTAATAAATAATTTACACAAAAAATACGGACAAACTTTGCCACAAAGGACAGCAAGTCGCGAGGAATTCTGTGAAATATCTTCCCAGTGTACTGTGGCAGTGAATGCAAGTGTGCAACGGCAGCAGCTGCGAAGAGTTAATTTTGGATTTTGTAAAAAGACACCAGAAAACAAAATAAGAAAAATCATGGTGCAAGACAACAACGAGGAAGAGAGGAGTGTGTGCGTGCAATAACTTGACTTTTTCATTCGAATACTAAATCCTTGAAACGATCCGAATTCTGAAATATTCAACGTTGTGTCGTCATTGTCATCAATCGATATTCCAATATTCACAGCAAACCAAAATAAACCAATCCATCATCTATGGAACCACCAGCAAACTTCCAATCGATATGCTACTCTTCTTTTCAAAAATATTTTGAAAATCTGCCAACAAAGAGAGCAAGAGGGGAAACTGCATTCATATTTCAATAATAACAACTTCAGGTATATACGGAAGTGCACGGTAAACATGTAACATATGGTGTCTTGAGGATGACATATACCCCCAATAATCCTCATCCCCCATCTCCTACAGTATACAATATTTAATAGCAATTTTTTGTTTTGATTTTGTTTTCTTTTAGGATAATGTAGATTTTGCGTAGTAACGTAGTGCCAATTTCAGCCAGTATATAATAAATAAATAGTAAATGCATTAGATCAGATCTGAGCAAATTCCAAAATACCACAACCATCAGACAACAAACGAACAGAACAAAAACTAGGATTTATCATTTGCACAATTCGAAAAGGAAAAGAGAGCAAAAAAACAACAACAGAAAAAATCCCCCCTGCGCACATTTTCACTTTCAATGCAACAACAAAATTTAAACGAAATTCACCAGTATCATTATAGAAGAAGAATCACAAGAACAACCACAACAACAATTCAAGTGAAGCCCCCCTGCAGCAGAACATAAAAATTCCAAGTAGACTAAATCAAGAAGACGAACTGCCACTATTTTACGTTCGGTACCAAAGCAAATAGAAGACCCTTTTTATTATTATTATTTTTAAATTGTAATTTAGACAACATTAGGCAGAAGCGAACGAACTTCGTTTTAAAAGGAAATCAAGACAACGGATAAATAAAATAAAAATCCAAATTCGACACGTTTTCCCGCTATGGGAAACTGCCTGAAATGCTTCCAGTCGACATCAGAGCATCCGTCAACCACATTGGGTAGTGGTGTCGCTACATCATCATCTATGCACTCCGGCTGTCACCCTACTACACACATTGTTGATGGTCGCTATACAGGCTTGGCGACAACTGCAGCAACAACAGCACTAAATGCCAATGATGGTCACCACCACCAGCAACTGCCACATCATTTGCAAGTTGTAAGAGCTACTTTCTCCTCCAAGGAAAGATCTCATGGTAGGATAGTGTAACATTTTGAGTATCCATTGGATGTATGTATGTCTAATTGATTTATTTTTCTTGTCTTCTAGAAACTGATGAACTGCTCTCTACCCGAAGTCCACTCAAACCAGCAAACCATTGTGATACAAAACGTAGTAGTTTTAAGAAATCATTAGCACTGCTTAATGGTAATGCATCAACCATGTGCGATATTATAACAGCGGGTAAGATTTTTATGGAATTTTTTTATAATTGTCAACCGGTGCAACCATGACCAGGAGACGTCGTTAATGTCAATCGTTGATTTAATATTCAAAGGAAATCACAATTTAAATTAAATACAACTTATTTTGTATTTTACAATGCTAACTTAAATACAAAAAATATGCACGTGCCTTTCGAAATATTCAGCATCGTTAATATGCAATATTACCATATCTTCGACCACTCATATGCTTTACAATAAAACGTTGTAAAAGAGTTAACAATGGCGAGAACGTTCAAATTTAATCATTGCTTCTAAATTATTTGAAAAATTCTGAGTTGGACTGAAACAGTCCTCATCTTTTTATTTAGTTGTTTCTAATGGTTTTTTATTACATTTACAGTTAAGGAAACATCTGAAGTGTCCGATAATACTCTGAACAAATTATTTGAGGAATATAAAGAGCCAGACGAGGACATGATATTGGCAGATGGCATTGAACGTTTATGTTGTGATCTCAATTACCAACCGGATGAATTTGCCATTTTGGTGCTAGCCTGGTGCTTAGATGCTTCACAGATGTGTCGCTTTACACGTAGTGAATTTATAGAAGGTTTACATAAAATGCGAGCCGATACTATAGAAACCATACGCATAAGACTGGAGCAGACAATCGAAACATTAAAAGTCGATTCCGAAATGTTCAAACAGCTATATAGATTTACATTTAGGTAAGATACTGTGATTTTCGATTGCTATTTCGAATTCTATATGTTTATGGTTTATCCCATTTGCAGATTTGGCCTGGAACCAGATCAAAGAATTTTATCATTAGATATGGCCATTTCATTATGGAAATTAGTATTTACCGTACACACCCCCGATTTACTTAGCAAATGGATACACTTCTTAGAGCAACATCCTAGTATAAGAGGCATTCCAAAGGATACCTGGAACATGTTCTTAAACTTTTCGGAACAGTGTGATATAAATAATTACGATGACACAGAAGCATGGCCAAGTCTATTCGATGATTTTGTCGACTATGAAAAATCACGCTTAGAAAATGGTGACGATGACAACAACAATGACGATCCTTTGCAACAAAAACAAATGCATGATAATTCAAGCTCAATAAATGTATTATAGTATTAAGACAACAACAAAAAGCCACTACGATATAATGAACATTAGCACATCATGCCAAGTAACTTCAATATCATCAGCCAGCCCCCTTCATCATCATCATCGTTATCAATGGAAGGAAGCGGCGGGTGTGTTGAATAATAGCTGAATGTGTGTAAAATTGTAAAATATTCATGAAGTTCTCCTTAGGATTAATCACCCTTGTGAGATCTTTCGATGCGTTCTTTTAACATTCCCTTTATTAACCACAAAATAAACCCCGACTGTCGTTTTGTTGTAATCACTCGCCCCCACATTGTTGGGTGTCGTTTTTTCGGTGCTGGTAACCCTGTGAAGAAAAGAACGATCTCAACAATTGTTTCTATGCATATTTTTACATTTGAATCTGATGGACTTGTTTGTGTAACTTTCATTATTGTACATAATCTTTATTTCGCAACAAAAAAGAAAATCCATGTAACTCATTGCTGACGAAAAACAAAAGAAACAAAAAACACGAAATGTATTTATTTCAATTAGATAATACATTATTTCACATACTACATTTAAAACACACACAATCATGATCGATCATGTAAGTGATGGATTTGCATTTTACAAGTAATAATAAAAATATATATATACATACACATTTAAAGAAAAGGACAACTTGAGGTGTTTTATTTAATAGGGTTTTTCGATAAAGGCCTTAAGGGTCAAGAACTCAATCTTCAATGTGGAAGTATACACGTTATTTAAACTTTAATTTTAGAGGTGGGTGGAGGGTACATTTTACCCCTTCTCTCATATATTTCAATTTATTTCCCAAATTCTGTGTTGCTATATTTAAATTAAGCAAACGGACCTCGTTTCAGTTTTCTGAATCCATTAAATCGATCAGAATGTAAAGAAGGTAAAGCAAAAAACGATCGAAATGGAGTTACGGAATTGGAACCATGCCAAACAGAATCTATAACATGTCAGATAAAACCCAAAATAATCGAGTGCTTGTCCATCAATCAGTACAAGGTCTGTTTTTAAGTGGTCTGTTCCCGTAGCAAGAATTAAATAATGTTCAATATTTTTTCCATATTATTAGGAATTATTATCGAAGTAAAGAAAGATAACTTCCTGCAGGTTCAGGAATACACACAAGGTCACCCAGGTACAGGTTAAACATTTGATTTGATTGTCTTCCTGTGTGACCTTATAACCAGACCTTTACTTAGTGTATATGATTACGGAAGATAAATCTGTTTAAATCAGGGACACATACCCTCCAGAAGTGTCTATTTTTTTTAAGACAGTTCGGTCCAAATTTGCCCTATCATTTAAAACACGTAACCAAAATGCCTGGTTGTTGAACGTCTGTAGTGGGGACTCTCCATAAAGTGGGTGGCAAGGTGGATGTTTCTTGAGTATATTACAAAAAAAGTGTTGCGAATCAACCAAAATTGCAATGTTTTTCTATCATAATTCTGTTTATAAGACATTTTTGGTTTTAATTATCCCTCGTTGTCGGTCAAACAAATTTTAAACGCAACTGTCATGAGAAACCCACAGTTTGTACATCGCTTTATTACAATTGTCTTCATTGTTCATTCCATTGACTGAACTGAACTAATCCAAACACACCATTCAGTGAATCGCTCTCAGAACTCTTTCGTCCGTGAACGACAATTCTTGTCAAAATCATAAAATCCAACAAATAGCCAGAAAAAAAAACAAAATAACAGAAAAAGAATAAGGTCCACACACAAAAAAGACAAATTTTGCTCCTCAATAAATCTTCAGCGGACAAAAACAAATAAACAAAGATTATCAAACATTTCAAAAATGATAAGAATTATCGTAATTAGCTAGAAGAAGACGAAAATCGCAAAAAAAGAGAAAGGGGAATGGACAAAATTTCTTTATTTGCTTTTCTGTGAAATATGACCATTCGAAGAGTGCAATTCAATATTATTTATCGCTACAACAACAATAGCAGCAACAATGATATGGGAAATGTTATGACGGCCTTAACTGCAACAGAGGCAGAAACGAAGAATAAAGTGATTCATTGATTTTTGTTCAAGATAGAGCCTGCCTGTCGCGGCGGAAGTACTACTAGTAGTGGAACACGTACGTGTCCGTGTATGAGTGTGTGTGTGTGCGCTAGAATTTGGTGATAATTTGTTCGTTTGGCGTATCGAAGTCTAGGAACAAGCGGCGGACGACTGTCAAATCATGCCTTGCGAACAATGCCATGTCCAGTTTACCGTCTTCAAACGTAAGAAAAGCTGTTCCGATTGCAAGCGATACTACTGCCACTCTTGCCTGGTGAGCACCCGCAAACATTCTCTGCTATGTGATCGATGTTTGCTATTTAGCCGCAGACCACTGCAGAGATCCGATTTGGTACAGCTAAAAACCAAAGACCTGATATTCTATCTGCAATCGAAGCACATCTCCACGGCCGGCTGTGTTGAGAAGGAGGACTTGATTGATTTGGTCATGCGAATGGATTCCAATCAGAATCCATCGTCGTCGAGTGGCAGCAGCAGCAAGAGCAGTAGCAAAAGTACAACGCCACAGCACCAGCCCACGAGTGCTGGCAATGGTGGTACCGGGGCGGATGCGGGGACTGGCGGCAATACAAATTCCTTTGATAATATAAAACAAACGTGCCAAAATTTCTTTAGTAGTTTAAGTGAAAATATAAGTGATTCCTTTGCCAATCTGGAGAGTAGGGCCTGTTCGAAATCAAGGGCGGACAGGCAGAATCGAAGTGCCGCCAATGTGACAGAACAGCCCAGGGTGGCCACCAGGGAGATACCGACATATGCTAGCAGGCAACAAAGGACTGTAAGTGTTGATGTGTCCTCGCCCACTGAATCGACACACGCAAGATCGCCAATATCTGTTTCAAGTTCTTTGCCGCCACAGCCAGAGAGGCAAACCTCTGCACTTTCCTCACCGCAATCGCCTACATCAATTGAAATTGGCACGGTAGCAGAAGAACCGCAGCCTACAGCAACGACGGAGGGCAAGTCTCCAACTAGAATTGCCGAAGAAGGCGATTGCGAATGTTCCGATGAGGAAGAATTAATAGCCACATTTAGTACACGTACCAGGTCACCTAAAATTGCAATAGAACCCTCACTAAGCAATGATGAGACAGATCTGGCCAATGCTGGTGGACCATCCACATCTGCCTCAACTTCAAAGCCGTCATCACAGTACTCAAAATTGGAAATCTACATAAACGAAGAGGAAGAATCTTCACATTCATCATTTGAAGAACTTGGAGCCATTGGGGGAATTTCCGATGATAGCAAGACTACAACTGATACCACTAGCAACACAACCGATCAATGGCAAATGTTGGATCTGAAGCAGGATGGATCTTCCAATCAGACGTTGGCAACTCCCGATGGCAATAATTCAACATTACAACAACCTGCTGAAGAGACGACATCTCCAAAGCCGCAACCATCCGCCCCACCTCCTGCACCCCCACTCCGTCTGAAGAAAGTGACACGCAGACGTTCCGAAAGTTATCTCAACCGTAGAAGACCTCAAATTAGCTTAGAAGAAGATGAAGACGATGAGGATGGTACAATACTTTCAGTATCGATACACAATCCCGCTTCGCGAATAGAAGAAGAAACCCAAACATCCTCAACCACCAGTAACACAACAGCCAAACGTTGTTGTTTACGTTGCGGCAAAAACAAAGTCAATATCCGGCATCAGGTAGAAAAGCTAAGGAAGCACTTGGAGAGTTCGCAAATGTCAGAGTCGGACATAAAACAAGAATTGCGAGAATTCCTAGCCTATCTAGAGCAACGCACCAAATCGGTAGAATATTCAGATTCCGAGGCTGGAACATCCACACCAAGTGCAACCGGGCTAACGGAAAGTCAAATGGCACAGCAGAGAGATTTTACTGTTTCAGGAAGTTCGGCGGCATTCAACTATTTTCCCGAGGCAAATATTGCCGCAAATCAAAGTGAAAAGGAATCACGTTTTATCAATTTGGATGATTACGATTCAATGTAAGTGGTGGTTTGATAATTTTTAGTTCGTATTGGAAAGAAATGATCTGTGAATGAAATATGAATACATATTCTGTTTATATGATTATACCTTAATTTGTAAACTCTTGTATATTTTTAGCAAACAACTTGAGGGTCTTAGTGTGAAACAATTAAAGGAGGTCCTTATGCTGCACAGAGTGGACTACAAAGGCTGTTGTGAAAAACAAGAATTGCTAGATCGTGTGGGGCGTTTATGGAAAAACTTGAAATCGACACCAGGTGCGATTACAAAATAGTGATGTTTGACTTTTTCTAATTTAACCTTTTTCTATATTGCAGCTGTTGATAAATTGCCCACAGACGAATTGTGTAAAATTTGTATGGATGCACCCATCGAGTGCGTAATTTTGGAATGCGGTCACATGGCAACATGCACCAATTGCGGCAAAGTCTTAAGCGAGTGTCCAATATGCCGACAATATATTGTAAGAGTTGTAAGATTTTTCCGCGCTTAGATATATATTTTTGAAATCTAAAAGTATGCTGGACTCTATTTTGTATTATTCTGTGTTTTACCCTTTGAAAGGGTAAAACATTTCAAAGCTCTGTTTACAAAGAGGTGAGGTGTAGGCACCGGTTACTATTATATTTAAATGTTTGTATTTTACTAGCAGCAACAAGTGTTTGGTATTGATTTTTAATTTTGAATTATAATAATCAATGGTTATTTCTAATAGTATTTAGACGAAACAAATAATATTATAATAATTTAATCTTAGATCTTAAACAAAGTGATAACTACTTGAGATTTTCATTCCAATAAAAAACAAAAAATAATAAATACTTAATTAAAAAATGGAAATATGTATGAATTAGCTCAGAAAAAAATGGAATGTATTAAAAAAACAAAACAAATAACTAACTGTTCGTACCTTAAATTATATATTTGACAATTGGTTTAATACAGTATAATAAATGAATTTAAATTTTCATCTGTAACAATTGTGAATTTTTCTTTGTTGTTATCTCGAAGAGAGTTTGGGTTTTACTTATTGAAACTGGTATTTACATTTTTCTACAAGAAAAAAAACACAATTTACATAAGTGGAAAATGTATCTTTCGAATTAGAACAAATGCATTAAAATAATCTAATAAGAGAGCTAACGATATTGTCACCAGATGCTGGCTTAAACTTTTTAAACCTAAATTAAAAACAATGCAGTACTTCACAATATGATAGCCGGGCGGATCGGTAAATAAAAGTTTCCAATCTTATTCTAATTATGTAAAAAATATATTTAAAAAGGTATCAAACCTAATTTCATCCCATACTCTCTTTTTTAATGTACTTGATATTCCACCGGTCGCTCATATTTTAACCTAGCAACCACAAGCAACACATCTGAACAATGGCAATGGATCTAAAGCAGGATGGATATCCCAATCAGACGTTGGCAATTCCCGATGTCAATAATTCAACAACCTGCTGAAGAGACACCATCCGGCCCACCTCCTGCACCCCACTCCGTCTGAAGAACAAAGAGGCTAGGCATCTTATGAGTAGTTCTGATGTGGAAATTCCTAAAACGTTGAAAAAGTTCCTTCATTCAATTTTGTTACAACAGAAGACTGCTTACAAAAACTATATGCACCTATATTCTTATGGAGACATCTGAATCTGAACCATGTTAAATTCATAATAGATCTTCGTTTACTTACCTTTAGTACATCGCGTATGATTCATTAACACTTAAAACATTACTCCCGACAATATAAAGAAACCCGACCGAATTCAAAATAAAAACCGAAACTTTGCTACGCACAAAACTATTTTGATTGAAGACACAAAACACACCGACAAGTAACCACAAAACGGCGACGATATTTAGGTGGAATATTCCTGTAATTCCAGACCTATGCTCGGCACACATAGTTTTCGACATGTTCACTTGAAATATCATTTCATTTTTACCCGTAAAGGCATTTCGTTTGATTTTTCTATGACGGACGATTAGAATTTCTATGAGGAAAATGACGCGTTGTATCCACTTGATAATCAAAAAGGCGGGAACGCAAATAGGTTCACAAATAAATATGTTTATATATTTTACATATAATTTTGTTTATTATTAATATCGATTCTAATGATTAAATTATAGCACTTTTTTATATATTTTTTATTTCATTAATTAGTTATGATGCCGATGCAATTTATTTTTTTACCGTTTCACAATGGAGCAGCACCAGAACTTCAAAACAGAACAGGGTTGATTTTTCTTGCAAAAAAAAAAATCAAATCATTATTGAGTAGAATTAGTCTAAACGTGACGCACATTCTCAACTTGCTTCTGTAGCACTGTCGGTTTTCGATTTTCAGAAATCTGTTTTTTTGTTCTGTTTTTATTTTACAACGTTACCTAAAATCCGACGAAGCGTACAAAAATATTCAAAATCGCGAAATAAAATTAAGAAATTTTAAAATATGTTCAAATATTTCATATTCTTATCCATGGTATAATAATAAAAGGTAACAGCAAGTGTTGTTGTACAAAAAACGATACAACAACCACATGGAAATTTGTTGTTGTAAGTTCTACTAGTGTCAACTCATTTGACAGAAAAATGTAAACAAACAAACAAATTATGATCAAATTATTTTTATTTTTAAACTGGAATATTTTCGAATCCTCAAAATAAAAATTGAAAAACATGAATGAAAATCTATCAAATTTATATTTCTATCGTTTTCACATTTTTCCTTTAATTGAGCCATTGCCATATACATATATGTGTAACACATATGACAATGCTGGGAATAGCGAGTAACAAAATCTCAAACTTTCCCAGCAGGCAGATTGAGTAAATTAAATACGGGAGCACATAAATAAAGAACAACTTCAAATTGCATTCCCAATTTTCCTGTTGGGTGATTTTTCAAAACATAATTTGTCAAATTCATATTGACACTAGTATTACGTTGGAATCAAATCAGCTGGGATTTGCTGTTACCTTTTATAATTGTACCATGATTCTTATCGAAAAAAATATATTTCTTTATGTTTTGTGTTTAAATTCCAAAACAGAAAAAAAAACAAAACTACGTTCTGTCATAGTTGCATTTTTTCAACTTTGAAAATTCGTACGTCGACGTATTTCGGTAACATTCATATTAATACATGTATTCTACTTTTGTGGTGAAAACGTCGAACAAGCTAGTTGAATTTTAGGTAAGGCTGTTAAATATTAATTAAACAAATTAATTTAAATGATAATTAATTTTATGAAGAAAATAGTTCGAATGAACATATCTAATGCCATGTACAGACGAGCGTTGTTCGCTCTCTCATTCGTTGTTCGACCCTTAATTATGAAGTAATTACTTAGTTCCCCATACAAAATTGTCTGAGCGAACACCGACTTTTGTACGTTGTTCAATTCGAATCACTCTCCGAATCACCAATAATTTTGTCCCATCTCTAACAATTGAGAGAATTTATCGAAAATAAATTAATTTTGACAGCATGAAAAAAATTTTCAATTTTTCAAACTTTTTCAGTAAAATTGAAAATGATGAATGAAAAGTAACCAAAATTCTAGTTTTTATATATGCAGAAGGATGCACGTTTTGTTGTTTACATAATGCAATATGCATTTCTATCCCCTTGGTTCTAATTAGCGTTCAAAACGAAAAACAAAAGTGGGAAAACCCAAACAAAAATTCTCCAATTTTTTAAAGGTGACATTTGAGTTGAGAAAATATAAAAATGTATTGAAAACAACAATATTTTCAGAAAAAATGGAAAACATGAATTAAAAGTAAAGAGATAGGGGTTGATATTATAGTCAGGAGAAAGAGAATTATTTTTTCTATTTAGATCCATATGCGTTTCATGCAAATATGTTAGAATTTTGGTGTAAAACAAGAAACAAAAAGTTTGAAATAAAAAACACTGATGACATGAATTAAGAATAGTGTTGTATAAACGGGTTAATTCATGTACGTAATTCTGAGAGCGAACTACGTTGTTCGAATGCCGGTCAGAACATGGCATAACCCAATTAATAATTTTAATGTTCACAAATAAGTATATATATTTTTTTATATAATTATATTAATATTGATTAGAAGAATAAAATTGTGAAACTTTTTTATATTATTCAAAACTGAACAAGGCGTTGTTTTTGTTTTGCAAATGAATTCAAAACCACTATTGAGTAAAATTACTTATAACGTGACGTACGTTTTTAAAGTTAAATCAGCTGTTTTGCCGCACCTATATTCGAATTTTAGAGACCTAATTTATATTTTGATTTTTCATGGTGTCTTTTATTATTTGAATGATAACAATTAATTTGTTTATATTGTTATTGTATATAGTAAATAAACCCTATTATTTTAGGTTTCTAATCGTATAAAAATTATTGATTTACTACATTTTATTTAGTGGCAACATTTACAAATTGCATTATCAATTGGCAACACCAAAATCACATCTAGCACTACGGCGTCTTGTCGGAGAAAAATTAAAAGAATTTTGTAGAAATGATTGCAACAGGATATCAATTAATGGTTCGTCTAAAGGCTGAGAAACGACCACAATTGGAAAACTTATGGCCTAATGTATTGCCACCCGGTGGTCCGATGCCCGGTTCCTTAACTGAAATAAGCGGAGTCAAAGATGAGGAGCTTCTTTTGAAAATCATTGCACGAACAGTTTTGCCTGAACAATATGGCGGGAAATCGAGTCAAGTCATACTCGTCGACTTAAATCACAAAATTGATGAAATTGAAAAGTATCTGTTGGATGTGATGTCCCTGAGTGAGAATTTTTCGCAAGAGGATCCAACGCTTATCGATGATATTCTATGGAAATGTTTAAACTCGATTATCTACATTTCTTGCTATTCGTCGGAACAATTTGATTTAGCGCTCGAAGAACTTGAAGATATATTGTGGGACGAGGAGAATGTATCGCTTCTGGCCATCGATGGTTTGGATGCCTTTTATTGGGATGATTGCTATGATCGACTGCAGCGCATGATCACACACTACAGAAAAATGTGTCAACGTTTGCAAAGAATTTGCCAAGAACATAAAGTTTGTTGCATCTATACCGTGGAAACAAATTACTTACAGCACAAGTCCAACAGCAAGGCTAAGGTTAGTAATGTCTATAATTCTTTTGTAGATTTTAAAATTAAACTAGCTCTGAAGGATGGCTGTCTCCATCTGAATGATAAACCATTTTCATTTGATATGAAATAAATTGAAATTTATAAACATATACATACGTATACTTATATATACTTCTCCCGGATGTATAGGTCGATTTTTGAGATAAATTCCGTATTGTATTTCTAAATTTCTACTTATTGTTGTAGCAGCCCTATTGCTGCTTTTAGTTATTGCAGCAGTCCTATTGATTGTAAACGATTGGCTGAAGTGACAGACGTTGACCGAGTAAAACTCGGCTCGTTTTGGGCCATAGACACCTCTGTCGTGGAAACGCTTTTAGAATTTTATGTTGGTATCAACAGATACCCACATAAAATGGAGCACATAAGTACACTTTGACGTTAAAATCGTTGAGAATTTCTTATGAAGAAAGACTAATGAAATATTGCCACATATTGCAGAGTTTTACAATGTTGTAGATGATCCAATCGCAAGACATGCTTATTATAATCACATGATTTCTGACACTGATAAAATTAAATTGAAAATGTGTTCCGACTATAATTTAAGAGACACCTCAGCAGACCAAACCATTTATTACAATTGGTTCAATGTAGTGAATAGTTTGGTGGTCGTTAACGTTTTAAATAATTGTTCTAATGTTATTCCCTTTAAATTCCGCTCAATTTGCTCATGAGTATTATACGAATACTGTTTGTATATGTAGATCCCCTTTTAGTATAAAACTCACTTTGACTTGAATTTTTATAATATTTGAAACAAAGACATGTTCTGCGCAATCAATAGTTAGTAACTTATTTTTCGCATAGAACAAATTCCAAAACGTATAAGTGGTCACAAAATTAGCTGCGACTCTCATAAAATGTTCCTTCCTTGAATATTATATAATACGACGACAACAAAGCTTAGTCAACTACCTCAGTTATCGACAGATAAGAAATAATGTAAAAAAAAAAACTTTACAATCATGTCTGCTATGGAACAAAAGGGAAACAGCACCAAAATCAATTCGAAAAAAAAGAAAACACTTTCGACAATATTCATTTTTAATGTATTATCTATTTTATTATAGAAAACAGTCTTTTTCACATTTTTTTTTCAGTATAAATGAAAATATTTATATAGTCTGAAACACATATACTTTAAGAAATATGTATGTACGTGCACATTGACAAAATAAAGTAAAAAATTAACCACAAAAGTTGTTATGTAAAAAAAATAAACGATAATTTTAGGAAGACTAAGGTCAGACTAGATTTTTCATATTGTGTGTGTGTGTTTGTTTGTGTATATAAAGCAGCATACTAATACTTTAGGCACTTTGGTTTTATTAATTTATCAGGTTGACGTCGATACATCAAGACGAAAAACGTTTTATGGTTAAATCCAGTGGTTTGTCCGTTGTTGTTAAATCCAACGTCAATTCCGGGCCACTTGCCAAAGACGAGTGGTGGAACTGCGTGTGGAAGTGTGACGATTTTGAGTCAGGTTCATCGTGTAGCCAATAGTTGTCAGCATCGGTGTTGGTTGAATTGGTTTTATAACAATCCAAGGTAGCTCTGATGTGGCACATCTCTTCCATGGCCATACAAAATGAATCTGGTCCAGCTGAAGCAGCTGTGGGGGCTGCAGTCATTATTAAATGATATGAAGGAGGGTAGTGGCTGTCATTTTGCTCCAAAGGAGAGAACCGAGATTCATCTAAACTATTGCGCTGTTGTAAATTGTGATATTGGGACTGCTGTATATACGAGGCTGACGATAGCTGTTGTGCTGATGGTGGAGGTGTTGTTGTTGTTTTAGAATCCATTATTTGCACTGAATGCTTGAAGGTTTTGACATGTTTTCTCAGCGAAGATGGGTCAGTATAACGTTTCTGACATCCTGGCACCTTACACATGTATGGCTTTTCCATTGAGTGGGTGCGTGTGTGCTTGAAACGATCCGATGAATTCGAGTAGGCCTTATTGCAGCCTTCAAATGTGCAGATATATGGTTTTTCTCCCGAATGGGAGCGTATGTGGATCTTTAGATTTTCAGCTCGGCTGAAGCGTTTATCACACAGGTGGCATTGATGTGGTTTCTCCTTGGTATGGGTTCGAACATGAACCAACATTTTGTAGCGTGCATTGAAACCGCGTTGTGTGCGATGACAGCCCGACCAACGGCAGTAGTAGAGGCCATCTGTTAGTGAGGCAACCGCATGTATTTGCGTAACGTGAATGGCCAAAAATTCTAAACTTTCAAAACATCTGGAAGTAAAAGAACATCAAGTTAGTTTGAATGTGTGATAACGATGTGGCAGAATTAAATGTTTATTAATAATTTTTCTCTAGCTTACCTTCCACAATCTATCCAATCGCATATAAAATCGTTGGTGGAACTTGGTGACGATGTGCCACTACTCGGGGTATCGTGGTGGTTTTGGTTATGATTATCCTCAATGTGATGATCTAGGTGGTCATTATATGTTTCAGCTGGCAGGTGATGTGGACTTTGATCGTGACCAATTTTCATGATGACCGATTGTGTACGCTGGGGAGTCAGTTGGGGAAATGGCTGGTGTGGTTCTTTCGCAGTGGGTTTTTCTGCTTCTGATAAATCTTCTTTTCGTTGAGATTGTGTGACAGTTGGGTGCAAATTTCTGGGTGGTGTTATTGGTGGTGTGGGAAATCTCAACTGTTGTTGCTGTTGCATTTGTAAAACATCCTCACTCATACTACTTGTATAATGATATGTATATTCTGGCCATGAACTGCTAGCCGTATTCACGGAATACGGTGGTGTATGATATGATGAATAGAGGGGAGCGGCGGGTGTTCCAAATGGATGTTGTTGGCTAAAAAGTAATGTTTGTCCTTCCATTATTATTTTGGTCTGCTGCTGCTGGTAAGCTTATTAACATTGATTGATTTTATATATTTTTGGTATTAATTATTGTTTGCGTTTGTTGGCTTTTTCTTGTTTTTAGTTGGCGAAAAGCACAGCTAGTCAGTAGTTTTATTCAGAGTGTTGTATTTTCTCTAGCAAGTTTTGTGAACGACTGATGTGATTGTGAGTCGTTTCGTATGTAATATTCTATGCGAATTGTGCTGATAAGCTATTCTTATCATTTCTAGGCCTTCTCATTCAGACCATTGCAGACAGGCAAGAGGGCGGGCTCTCTGTCAGGGGTTATGGGTTTGTTTTTAGTTCTTTTTCCATAAAAAGTGTGTTCTGTCTGTGATTGCGTAGACTGGTTAACTGCTCGTCATTGGGCATTAGCACACATACAAACACAAACACATAGATATACACGTGCAAGCGAAAATATTTATGGGATACATATTATGTTTTTTTTTTGTGCATAGGAAAGAAAGTGCGTATGTACGAATGTGTGCAGGGGGAGTGAGTGATTATCCTGGTAACCTCATGAGCAAATAACTAATAATGTATGTTTTTAAATATAAACATATTTCTAATTTATAAGCGTTTAATGCTCATAGAATTTTTCTAAATAGTTATAAATTCAGATTTATCTTTTAAATATATTTGTATATAAAATAAATATATTTTTGTGGAGTATTAAAACGTTTTTAATAATCGACTGACTTCTCGGAGTGTAAATAGGAACGTATATTTACTTGGAATTATAGGAAAATCCTACAGTTTTCAAATTATGTCATTTACAAATTGCTTTCTTTGCATATTTTTCTTGAGGCCTATCCCAAGTTAGTATTACTCAACCTATATCAGTGCTCAGTATATGCTAAATATACGCTTCAAAGAAAATGCGCTTTAGAATTCAAAAACTACGTTACATAGTAAAATAAATGTACTTATAATTACGTCTCTTAAACATCGTACAATACGAAGAAGAATTTAACTCCTGAGAAATCAACCAAATTTTTAAAATCCCCAAATGTGTGAGGTTATGACGTATTGATAACATTTTTTAATTCTATAACTTTTTCTAAGACCTATCCCAAGTCAGTACAACCTACGTCAGTGTTCTATATTTGTTTTGTTAATTAATATATTATTATATATTTTGTTATTAAATACGCTGTAAATGCGCTTTAAAATTAAAAGGCAAAGTCACATAGTAAATAAATTAATGTATTTTACAATCCAAATGGAAAAACAAAGCAACGATCTTCTTATTCTTTCTTCTAAATCTGAAATAGAACTTTTAAATCTAAAATATAGACCGGTTGTTATGTTCGCCTTAAGGAGAACAAAATATTAGCCTAAAGATCACTTATGTCCAAAGTTTTAAAGTTGTAGAAAGTTTTTTTTTTTAATATTTTCATACTTTGTATTACTTAATAAATAAATATCATATAAGCGATTTTCTATGGTAACCGCGGAGTCTTAACTTTGTATATAACGAATTACGAAACAAAAGCTATTTTGATAGTTTAATTTTTAGTCATAGCCAAATATTTAACTGATAACTCGCTCAATTCCATGGATTTTAAACTCTTTTTCCAAAATTTTGTCGTCATAAAACTATTGACTACAATAAATCAAAATATACATCACACGACGTAAGTAATTTTCAGTGATAACCGCAAAGTTTTTATATAGAATTAAAGGTATGTTCCCATACTGTACCACTTTTTACTACGATATGATTTTATCATATCTAAAAACAAGTACATTCTTGCCGTACGAGAACTTTGGTATTCATCAAATATTCCTCAACTTTTGATCAGTTTAATGGAAACCCATTCATCAAAACGGTAAACATTTGGGAATAAACTTAGAATAGCAGTATGAATATGACTACGATAAGGCGATTCTAAGAACTTGAGAAACAAGCTGGGATAAGTTATAAATATTTTATGAGCTCAATTCATTCATTTACGCCCAGTACATTTACATCAATTTATTATTATCTGTGAAAAGTCATTTGTTTATAGGATCTCTAATCTTTGTACAAAACAACTAAACCGGTTACGACCAGCAACGAAATCTTATGGGACCTCCAACCTGCCTGCCTTTCATTCATTTCTACAATGATCATTATTTTCACAATATTGTAGGGAAATTTGGTACACTCTTTTTTATTAAAAAATAGTACTCGATAAAGCTGTCAAATCTTCAAATATTGTGCAATATATAAAAAGCTCTGCAAAAGAAAAATGCAAACTCATCATTTATTAGAAATGCATTCCAGATCTTCCCCATAGCGTAATAACAATTGTTTCCAGCCATACAAATGAGTCAGTTATAATGGGAAGATACTCCAATTAAAAGAAAAGAAAACAAAAACACCGACTCAACCTTCGCTACGTGCAATATCAAACGGTTCCACGATTCGTGTGTTTGCTATTTTTACACCACAAAACGTAAATATGGAACACACGGTTCGTATTGTATCAATGGCTGTGCGTGTATCGTTGTGTGGTTGTTTTTGTTTTCGGTTCCTTGCCGAAACTCTCTTATCTTCTTATCGTTCTTTTGGCCCAATTGAAATCACGGGAATTCACGAACACACTTCCACACGGCCGCTTGTGCGATCAACAAGCTTTGGGGGGCATTTTGATAACAGAGCACCTACGTGTAGACTGGATTATTTATGTCTGCTGTACTTCGTACCCCTGTTGGTATTTCTTCGTTCTGTTTGTCGATTGTTAGTAATAGCCATGTTGGAATTAACACGGTCCAGTATTATGTATATTTGGGAATAAATTAAAATTTTATTGACATGTGTTGTATTTGGAAAGAAATTTAATTTGTTTGTGTTTAGATTTTGCAGATAGATTGTCGTTGGAGGATCGAAAAATATTTATTTATTGTAGCATCTTGTTAAAGCTATAGTATATAGTTTTTTTTTTTTTGGATTGTGATACCTTGCTAACTCTGGCATATGACGACCAATAACAATGAAAATAAAAACATTTGGTTAGGCCATAGGAATTTTTTTTACCAAATCATATTTGTTGCTAATTGTCTGGCATTTAACCATTGATAATATGCTGTATGTTGTTGTTGTTTGTGTTTTTGATGATGGAAAAAAACACAATGCTATTGTTAGATTATGGCAAACAATAACAAAACGTAACGTATAGGCAGCGCATATCGGCAAATAAGATCTGAGGGGTTGGTACAAAATGCGTAAGAATTGACTCTATTTGCAAACTGTCTGAGCTCTGTTTGTTATCTCCATTATTTTGTTCAAATTTTTCCTATTAGATAAGACTTTCTCAAAATCTTATCAAACTTTAAGCTTAACATAATAAAAATACACACACATTGGAATGATATGGCGTTTTTTTTTTTTGTCCAAAGTTCCAAATTCCAATGTGTTACACATTTCTTGTAATTTATTACATATTGATAGTGTAATAATGGGTAGTTTCCATTCTTTTGGAAAATTTGAAGATTATGTTGTCATGGCATGGTTGATTCTGGCTTTCCCATCAATAAAAATGTATCCGGGCCCTTTGGGGATTTTATAAAAAGATGTGTTTTAAAACTAAAATGTTTTTAGGAAAAAGGGGTGTGGTTAGATTAGTTCTCTATTTAGAATAGTGGATATTTCTATTCTTAATCATTTTTTTGTTTTGGTAAAAAGAGGCGTGACTGGATTTTTGTTCAATTATATTCGTCACAATTTATTTTAAATAAAGTCCATAGCTGTTATTTAAAATAAATTACATACTATGTTAATATAAATTCGAATTTTTAACTTCTTCATAATATATGCTGTTTTATACATGTACCGATTTCATTGCTATAGATAAAAAATAAAGTTTCGATGTCTAATGTGTGTGGAACATGTTTTAATATCTCGTCAACGTGTTTAAAAAAAATTAGCCTAAGAAGAGTGGGCGTGGTCAGATTCTGTTAGTATAAAGTTCAATTTAATTAAAAAATAAGTTTGTGAGATAAAAATAATTCAAAAAAATGTTCGTCAATTATAACAGATTACTCTTCGATTTTTAAAAATTCATATTCAGCTTGTTTGCATGATTCTTGCTTCTCTAAAGTGCAAATCAAGTGCAATGATTGATTTGCTCCCTCAGTCCATTTACATCAAATTCCAATTATCTGTTAGAAATCATTTGTTTACATGTCCCTCCATCTTTGTTCGAAACAAATAAACCAGTTTCGGCTAGCAATGAAATCTTTCTTGACCTCGAACCTACCCGCCTTTCTTTATTTTTTTGTTTCCAGTGATTATTATTTTCACAATATAGCGGAGAAATGTGAAAGAACCTAATTCAGCCAGCAAAACTGACTTAATATAAAATCCTATGGAATCTCACAAAACAACAACAAATCATTAAGGAATGGTCATATTCTAGTTTCAAAACACAGCTTTCGGGGGAAAAATATTCAAACAATAGCCTGATAAGAGAAATGTGGATGCGCCAGTTTATTCCATTATGTTGCCCTTTAGCTACAATTTCATGTGAGATGCTGAAAATTAAATGGAAACAATAATATTGAAACGAACTGAATAATCTTTAGTCACAGCGAAACCGTGAAACCAGTTCAGAGCGGATTCGACGCTCTTCACTCCATATATAAATAAAATAAAACTGAATACACTCGTATTCATGTAGATCTTTAATTGCTTCGATTACTGATAAGAGCAGAAGGCAAGTACTACCACCATGTGTGTGCGCTGTGCTTTCCCTTGGATGTTTCATAGGCTTGCAACAATTGATTAATTACGAATACAGGGTGCGATGTATGTGTAAAGTTTATATTGGCAATTGAGAATTGGAATTGCATCTGCTGTCTGGTAATGATGATGAGCCGCCATCGTCGTCGTTTGTCGACTGATAAAACGCATCGCTTGTTGTGTGTCCAACACATCAATAACAATGCGAATGCGAATAAAAAAACGGGCCTGGAGGCCAGACATATTA